CGAGGGTGGGAAATGAGGCAGCTACTGGTAGATAGATACCAATAAAATTACATTAATATTTATTTAAAAGAAAAATAACCTAGCTCTGTAAGTGGAAAAGGGGGTACAGGGCTACATACAGATCATTTAATCCATTCATGTTAGTATAATTGTAAATGTATTGTCTGCACTGTATTAGCAGTATATACTCTATACAGAGTATATACTGCTAATACAGTGCAGACAATACATTTACAATGATCCTCTGCTAACATGAATGGGTTAAATGATCCGTAGTACATGATATGTAGCCCTGTACTATGGATCATTTAACCCATTCATGTTAGCAGAGGATCATTGTAAATGTATTGTCTGCACTGTATTAGCAGTATATACTCTATACAGAGTATATACTGCTAATACAGTGCAGACAATACATTTACAATGATCCTCTGCTAACATGAATGGGTTAAATGATCCGTAGTACATGATATGTAGCCCTGTACTATGGATCATTTAACCCATTCATGTTAGCAGAGGATCATTGTAAATGTATTGTCTGCACTGTATTAGCAGTATATACTCTATACAGAGTATATACTGCTAATACAGTGCAGACAATACATTTACAATGATCCTCTGCTAACATGAATGGGTTAAATGATCCGTAGTACATGATATGTAGCCCTGTACCCCCTTTTCCACTTACAGAGCTAGGTTATTTTTCTTTTAAATAAATATTAATGTAATTTTATTGGTATCTATCTACCAGTAGCTGCCTCATTTCCCACCCTCGGCTTATATTCGAGTCAATACTTTTTCCCAGTTTTTTGTGGTAAAATTAGGTACCTCGGCTTGTATTCGGGACGGCTTATACTCGAGTATATACAGTACATTCTTAATGGATGTTATTCTTTGCTGCTGGGCCTGATGCATACCTGACTTCTCATACAAGCACCATAATGCTGCAGGATGTGCATATTCCCTAGGCAGGCAAAAGCAGACTCGGCTACACCTGGGTTCTGTTGACCTGTATAGCCGTTTGATGAGGAATGTAAAAGCAAGATTTTTTTCTTCTGCAATTCGGCTCTGTTCATACTGGCTATAAAAGGGGATACTTGGCACAAGTACTCAATGCCTGCTAAGTGCCCACTAGCTGGCAGATATCAAAAGGAGCACTGAGCTAAACATTTATGGGGCATTAAAGATCTGCAGATACAATGTGCATTCTGCACTATCCTATTCACTTCACTGACTTTCTTTGGCAGGAGAATGTTAAGAGTCAAGAAAATAACATTGTAACATAGAGTAAAGTGAAATTGTGCTCAGGCGATGCATACTAACAAATTTACATGTTCTGAACAAGCAGTAAAAGCACTTTAAAACCAGCCATTGTTCACCTTTGCAGCTTTAGGCATTGTGAAAAAATTTGTCTTCAAATCCGTATACTGTAAACACTCAGCAGATGTTTCTAAGCGGATAGAGATCAATTGAAAATGAATTTAGGGTCTTGGTTGTGATCTATAATGACCTTGAAGAATGCGTTACTTCACAGTACATGCAGCTAGAGAAGTCAGGATTGGCTTGTTTTTAAAGCTCTTTTAGTGATTAAAATATGTAAATGTAATGTCCATAGTCTGGGCACAGGGGCAGTTTAAGCATTAGTCACCCCACTGCACTGCGGTAATGCACATAGTGTGTGTTGGTGCACTGCAGAATGGCATCCAAACGCAGCAGTGCACAGTAACACACTTCAATGCATTGTGCTGTGCTAGTAATGATGTTGCCAGAGTGATATGCACTGCCTTAATCAGCTTGTGTTAACTGCGCCACAACAGACTCCACTGGTGTGAATAGGCCCTAAAAGTAACCACAAGTATTACAGCTGTCCTTGCCGTCTTCCTTCCAAAATGCTATTTGCTTGGCTATTATGGTCATTTTGTGATTTCAAAAACTTCTTCAAAGTTTACTGACCACGAAGGATTATACATTAAAGTCCTTATCAGTTGCAAAGGTTGGATGGTAGAGATCCAGTTTGACAGCAAGGCAGCTAGCGTTTTTAGAAGACCTTGAAAAAATGGTTAGCGCTAAAGAGTGTGAAAATATGTGCTTCTGATGGCAACAGTCTAAAACAATTCACCAGCTGTAATTTGTTGTAAAGCCCAGAAAGATATTTGCATATGCGGTACTTGTAAAGGTAAATCAATGGGCTAGAAAATGATATATATAAAATCACATTATGTTATTATACAGATTTATAGATTTATGTTAAAACCTTTACCAACAATAAAAAATGATTAGTTGCAGCAACATCTCATAATTCATACCAGTACCTCTGAGAGCCAATGTCAAAACCCTCTGCAATATACACACACACGCACACTTACGCACACACACACACTTCTTGGTAAAATATGAGTATGCATCAAGTAAATGGATACTAAACACGTCAAGCATTCGATCTGCGCTCTCCCTCTGTGATGGAACAGTGAAAGTAACAGCTTCTCTTTAAGGAGTCATTTGGGGTCTATTAGGCATCTTCTACTGTAGGGGTGATTGAGCAGCTTTACAGCTGCCCAAATCACTTCTAGTAAAAAGCTAACAGCGTGCAGAAGGAATGTAAAAAGGCTCCCAGATGCTTTACCAACTGTTTACAGGTCCTTGCTGCCTTTGACCTAAGCTGTACATTGCAGCGGTGAAAAGGTTATGAACCTGTTCCCAGATCGTGCACACGAAACTATGTGCAAATCTTTAACAAGCAGTACAAGGACTTTAAAATACACCCTCATCTTTGTATCTATGAACATTGTGGAGAAATACATTTTTAAAGTTCACAACACAGGCAATTAAATCTTTTTTCTATGCAGAACAGATTGTTAGACCGCCAGCCCTGTAATGTAAACGCACAGCAGGTGTTTTTAAGTAATTTGGAACTGACTGAACCCTGACTTCAGTCTTTGTTGTGATCCTTGAGGCTCTTTGAGAATGAATAACTCCACAATAAGGGCAGGTTCACACCATTTTCTGGACCATATCTAGAACGCAGTGCATTGCTTTTGCTGCGTTTCGGAGCATTTTTTTTATTTGCTTACAATGGGCTTTCAGGTGCGTTCCAGTGCGTTTGTATGCGGTTTGATGCATTCCAGACCAGACAAAATGAGACATGCAATATTTTTCTGCTCTTGTCTGGAACTGACTGCGCAGGTGTGAACAGAGGCCAGAAATAGCATAGGGATACATTAGATGCATTTTGGGTCTGGAAACAGTCTGGTCTGGAGATGATCTGGGTGTGGGGTGATGGGCCCTAAAAGCCGCTAAGGAAGTCGGGGTGGCTTGTTTTAAAGCTCTTACTTACTACGCTACTACTGGTTAAGAATATGTAAATAGTTTACTGTCAATAGTCTGAGCGCGGGTATTTATTAACAGCTGCTGAGATATCACTGGTCACACGGAGTGTATTATTGTAAAGTATTCAAACAATTAATAGGCTTCTATGAAAGGCGCTGTAAAGTAGAACCATTGCAGGAAGCGGAGCCTGCTTATGTAATGAGCACATATATGTCTGGACCCATAAAAAAAAAACTGTAAAAAAAATAACTAAACAATTCAGTAACAATTTTGTAAAACCCTGGAGATTTGTAAAGTTAGGGGGCTTTACAAAATTGTGTTTGAGGGCCCACTCTTTGTGTATTTAATAAATAGCTAAACAAAACCAACAATGCTAAAGCGTAATTATACCTTACTATTAAAAAAAAAAAGAAAGAAGCTGTTGAATTCTGCCTAACCACCATAGCTATCCAAGAAGTCTTAGGCTGGTTTCACACCAAGGCGTATCGAATATGTGAGTTTGCTGCGTGTTTCGTGACACGCAGTTTTACCTCGATTCGCGGTAAAAAACGCGCGTTTTCTTGGCTGTATCCCAATGGAAACGCGCGACAAAAATGCCCCAAAGAAGCTCCTGTACTTCTTTGGGTGTAGGGTGTTTTGTAGCGCGTTCATACAGCCTGTAATACGCCCAGGTGTGAACCATACCCATAGGAAATAATGGGATTTCGGTGTTTGAGGGTTTTGCAGAGCGTTCGAACGCGCTACAAAAACGCCCAGGTGTGAACCAGGCCTTAAAAAAAGCTTCTGACCAGAATCACTCCAGTCACAAAGCTCCCTCCTACCCCCTTAAGCAGACATCCCAACTCTCCCAGACGCTCCGGGAGTCTCCCGCTATTACAGAGAGTAAACCTTTCCCTGCTGTGTTGTTTTTTTTCTTCTGACATCGGGGTCGGGTACATCGGGGTCGCTGTCAGTCAGAAAAAAAAAACCTGCATTGGAATGCATAGCTAGATTGCTTTTGGCTATCTCAATTTGCAATAGCCAACTAGCTATTGCACCTGCCCACTGCTGCTGTCAATCAGCTGAGGGGGACCGGAAGTTCTCCATCAGGTCCTCTTCTAGTGATTGACAGCAGCAAAGGACGGGTGCAATAGCCAGCTTGCTATTGAACATTGCAAATTGAAATAGCCAATAGCAATCTAGCTATGCATTCCTATGCTGGTTTTTTATTCTGACGGCAGCAGCTGTCAGAAATACTAAAAAAAAAACCTGCAGATAGCACAGAAGCTATTGCTTCCTGTGCTATCTGGCATAATTTCAGGGGGGTGCTCCCCCACCCGCAGATGTGGGTAGGGGGGGCAGAAGGCACCTCCCTGAAATTGCTTTTTTCAGGTTGTGATCCCTGCTTAAGGTATGTAAATTATACATATACACCATCCATAATCTTTGTAGAACTGAGCTTTCTATGTCTAACATGGATCTCACACACACACACACACACACACACACACACACACATTTGTTTTGAAAGATGCTTGTGCTGTATTGTTTTTTTTTTTTTTCCTCTTCTCTTTTAAGCACATGAAAAAATGGACCCAAATTGTTTTGCATCTTATTATATAGAGTTGTGAGTTGCTGCTGTTGATTTTGTGCTTAATTAACATCAGTCCTAAATTTCTCATTTTCATTTACAGATTAATTTACGCCTTATCTTGGTAAGCGGCAAGACAAAAGAGTTTCTCTTTTCTCCAAATGATTCAGCGGCAGACATCGCAAAACATGTCTATGATAACTGGCCAATGGGTAAGTGAATAGATACATTCCACTCAAAGTCTTTATTGCTGTGTTCAAATGTCTTACTTTGCTAATATGTATTTGCATTAAATAGTGATTGTTTCTTATTAAGAAGTTGGCCCAACAAACACCAACACTTGGCTTATAGGAAGGTGCTTGAATCGCACTGATTTCCTATATCTCTGGGTCATTCTTGCTCTGAGATGTGTGCATAAGAGTGCCCTTTTACAAGGGTCTGATAGATTTGGTCTCCAACTTGCTAATCTACAATAAAGGTTAAAGTGACACCAAACTCAGGAGATAAATCTTTAAAATCCATTCATTCAAGTATTTTAACTATTACCCAAAATGTTTCTTATTTGTGTATCACTCAGCTGTAGATCCTCAAATCATCTCTGAATTGGCGCTGTTACTGTCCTTCCTTCTGGAGGGTGGCTACTTTTGTTCCTCATGGTCCCTGTGTGTGTTGTAAAGTAGCCACCGATCCAAGCTCACTACTGTGATGGAGTACAATCTCACATTTAGTTTACTAATTTGCATTGAAATATTTTAGTAAACAAAGTTTTTGGAAATATATTCTAGTCTATCACAGGAGTGAGCTTGGAGCGGTGACTACTTTACAACACACACAGAGACCATGGGGAACAAAAGTAGTCACCCTCCAGAAGGAAGGACAGTGTCAGCACCAATTCAGAGATGATTTGAGGGTCTACAGCCGAGTAATAAACAAATAAGATACATTTCTGTTCATCGTTACAATACTTGAATGAATGCATTTTAAAGATTTAACTCCTGAGTTTAGTGTCACTTTAATGCCATAGTGCTTAAAGTGCAACTGATGCCAAAACTTTTTTTTATGTTTGTTTAGTTTTGGATAGAATGGAGAGAAATTAGAACACCTGCCAGGTGTTTATTACTGTCTGTCTCCATTAGGGAGATTCACCTTCCTGATTTTGCCCTGGTGATTGTTATCACTAAAAGTAAAAGAACATCCAAAATTTTGGGTTGTCTTCACAACAGGAATAGATGTGAGAACTAGTGACTAGTTCTAGTGACCCTACTGACCACCAGATTTTGAAAAGTATTTCCTCTCACTTCCTGTTGTGGTCTTTGGGCAGGAAGTGAAGGGAAATCTCCCCAATGGGAAACGGAGCACAAAAAAACTGACTGGGGTTATTACCCTCTCTTACTCTCTCCAAAACTAAAAACAAAAAAGTTTTGGCTTCTGTTGTACTTTAAGTCTTAATTGCAACACTAGAAATTTATAATGCATTGAAAAAAACCTTGTCTTGAAAAATATCCATGCACTTCTTGGCCTTGAGCCTCATAGCTGTGTGTCTTCAATGTGAGATCATCTACGGTGCTGCTGCCTCTGACCCCTTGCCTCATGAGATTTTGTGGTCTTCAGCTGCAGTCAATGCAGGTGACAAGCTCTCCGATTGCCTTTTTTGGGCTCAGATTCGACAGTTCAGGTCCTCTTTATCCAGTGTTTGTTAAAGCCCAACTTCAGATATAATCCTTTTTTACTTGTAGCAAGTGTGTATAAGCCCCACTGAGATCCAATGCCCACAGCCTTCTGTGTTTGTTGACATCCTCCTCGGGAAGTCCCCTCTCCCCGGGCAGCAGCTTTGCAGTAGAACCCCATAGAAATGTAAGGAGCTTGTGTCCTGGCCGAGAGATGGGGGTAGAACAACCTCATAGTCTGCAGGGCTCTACTGCGCAGATGTTGCCAAAAGAGAAAGGAGTTGCGTCACAGGATGTAAACATTTCCAGGAGGCCGCAGACGTCTGATTACAGTAAGTATACAAGGGAAGGTGGGATCTGTTACGTCAGGAAGGGGGTTGAAAGGATAAGTACTTTGTTTTTAAAGTTACATTTCTACATTGTTATTATGTGATCATAAATTTGATTCACCACCACAGCGAACAGACCACAAACCAGACACTGCTGTACTGCGGATTACATTACTGCAATGAATTGCTGGCTTTGAAGAGATCTATTTTAAGCAGCAGAGTTGAAACACAAATATGTAAACTGTTTTACCTGCCAGAATATGCAACTATTTGGTATTTGTTAATTTCACTGCTGTAGCGTATGGAGGGTCATACCACAATTCAGAGTTCCTCTAGACTGCTCCTTTACACTTTTGTGGCTCTCCTTCAGTCACCTACTTAGTGTTTCCAAAAACACTGCCCCTTCCAGCGCACATAGATTACAACATGTTAAGATAGCAGCATTGTGCAGTACTGGAGAAACTGATTGGCTCAGCGTACTGGCACTTACACTTCAGCTTTCTTCTCATAAGCAAATATTAAAGGAAAAAAACAAACCGTATGATTGAAAAGATGCATAACTAAGTGAATGGGTCAGCTACCCAGCATACCAAAGTCTCACCCCTCAGCCACACTTCTGTCTGCTGCAGCCCAGTACCATGTTTGAGAAAGCATCAATGCAGGTCAGCTTTTTCCTCCTGAATATACAGACCAGTCTTAAGATTGCATAATCTGGCACCTGAGCAAAGCGAGTCCTGGCACTTTGATGGAATTCGGTCTTCAGCATCTGACAGATACCAGGAATGAGGATCCTGCTGCATATGCCCAACAGAAACAGGAGATGAAAGAACAGCCAGAAACCGATGTTTTGCAACTTTATTCACTAAATTATTTTTAGATTTGTTTTTACAAATCAATATTCCATACTTTTATATTAAAGAACAACTCTGGGGAAAAACTTTTCTCAACCCTTGCAGTAGGGCTACCCCAGCACTGCGAAGGTTAAGTGATCATTTTCGTTTAGGTGCAAAAATCACAGTTCTACTCACCTGATCCTTGGAGAAAGCTGGCTGTTAGACCAGTCCTTCCAGCCTCTCTCACCCTCCGCTCCAATGGTCTAAGGTTCCATGAGTCATCACGTCCAATACACTGTGTATTGAATGTGAGGACACCAAGGGACATACCATTGCTGGCACCCTCCAAAACTAATAGGAGATCTGTGATATCCATGTTACAGGTCAAACCAATTAGTTTTCACACTGACCGCCAATGTAACAAAAGTATTCGCCCTGTCCACAAATGTAACAAAAGTATTCACACTGACCACCAATGTAACGGAAGTATTCACAATGAACGCCAATGTAACAAAAGCTTTCACAATGACTGCCAATGTAACAAAAGTATTCGCCCTGTCCACAAATGTAACGAAAGTATTCACACTGACCACCAACGTAACGAAGATATACACCATACTCAAGCCCGGATTCCCCACAAGGCCACCGAGGCCCGGATCCCCCCCCATCAATGGAGAATGGCAGGGGCGGCAGGAAGGAGGGGGGCGCATTGTGGAATCTGGCCTTGGGGCGGCAGGGAGAGTAAACCCAGCCCTGAGCATACACATACCTTGTTCTTGCAGTCTTCTCTTCCTTAGCAGCAAGAGGGAAGGGTGGCGATTTGCATATGAATGAGCTGCGATATTTACATATGAATGGGCAGCGGCTTATTGATACGCAAATTACCGGGGCCCATTCATATGTTAATATCTCGGCCGGAACAGTGCAGGAACAGCAAGCTGTGGGCAGGGCTCTGACTATAGGAAACTGAAGATCAGAGCCCTGCCGATTGTGCTGCTCCCGTGTATGGGAGGGAGGCGCTGTTTTTCCGCCCTCCCCCACCAGCGCCCTCAGGCAGCCGTTTGTGTTGCCTATGTGGTAGCGCCGGCCCTGACCCTTGTAAAGCAGAATTTTCTGCGTTGGCTGACAAGTTAGGTTAAAAGGTAACAGAATGACGATCTTTTCTTGGCTGGACCGAAAGTCAGCTGTGTTATGTGAATGTGTTACTTTCCACTAAGGCCTTGTTCACACCAAGCGCGGAGCAGGTGCAGAGCAGTTACAGACCGGCGCAACACTGCGTCCAATGTATTCCAATGGTATTTTTAGCTCCAGTTCACATCGCAGCGTTCAGTTCCAGAGCAGGTAAAAAAACTGCAGCAGGCCCTATTTTACCTGCTCTGGAATGCATGCAAACGCCTGGAACACACTGAAAGACCATTTTAAACTAAAAAAATTATATATATATTTTTTTTTTTTAACCCAAAACGGCCTGGAACGCATCAAAAACGTGGCACAACCCACTGCACTGCGTGTGCAGAAACTCATTCAGATCTGCTCTGCATTTGGTGTGAACAACGCATAAGCCACTTCCACTTTCTTTTATATTTGTTTTGTTCTTATAATTCCATAGATTGTTTGCGTGCCCAATCCTTTTAGTGCAGTTAAAACACTTTTACATAAATCAGTTTCAGAAATGTAACTTCTCCTTTGCCGCCCTTTGTTGTAAAGTGGACCATTCTATTGTCAAAGCCAATCTAACCAACCACAAGCAACCTTTGGGTAGTCAAAGCCTCTCTGTTTGCAACCGCAAGATGCCTTTTGTACCTTCAGCTTAATGCAGAACCACCTGTGTGTGTTTTTGTGTCTGTGTCTACATAGCCTTAGTTATTCCTCTGACTTTACACTCTGTCCCAACCCCTATTGATGTCACACAGTCCAACCAGCAGCTAAAGAGGTCCTCTGTTGTTTGTGGGGAACCACAAGGAGAAGGTCTAGCTGCATTTAGTCACATCGGCTGAGACTGTCCACAGGTTCACTTTAAATGAAAATGGATACGCGGGTTTACCCTAAATTGTTGTTGTGTTACACTAGTATTTATTGCAGTATGCAGAATTAGGGATGATCACCGCATATGCTTTGAGCTTCAGGGATGTGAAATATTGAATTCAATGATTATTGCAGTTAATATTTGTATTGGATGGTATGATTTAAACATGAAATATCAACTCTTGGTTTTTATTTTGCAATTATCGGAGTTTGTGCCATGGCACACTGCCCTGTAAAGAATGCTGAATTCCAGCTTTTAAAGTGGAAGTTCACCCTAGAATTGGCCTATGAACGTTAAACAGCAATATTACCCCTGTACCTTGACAACTGCGTAGCACCATGTTCGACTTCTGTCCTC